GCCCAATTCGAGCGCGTGGCAAGATGTGACCGCCTGGCGATCGATATTGCTATGCGCACATCTCGCCACGCGCTCGAATTGGGCGGTAGGCCGGCCTAAGACAACGATTTTTAATAATTAATTACTCGTTAACTATTATGAAAATTGCAAAATGGTACAGGACTTTTCCATTCTTCTCGATCCGTTCTACCTTCTCAAAAATTTTGTCGGATATGGAAAGACTCACCCTGTATAAAGTAACATTAGTTGTTGAAAAAAATCTAACTGAGTTGAGTTTAAGTTACGGATGGAGAGAAAGTAACTGTAACTGTAACTTCGTTACAAGTAACGAGTTACTTCCCGACCCTCGCAATAACAGACAAGTAAGCGAAAGCGGTACGGATAAAAATAAATTACGATGTTACGGGACATAATTGTGCGACAAACGTGAATTGTAGTGAAGAGTCGAATTTAAAATATTATTTTCCACTGTCTGCCTTAATAGTTTACCGATAAAACAAATTTTAAGAACGCACTTAGAACAAATGGCAGAATCGTCACCAACATAGCTGATATCTGCTCTTTGACTGATGCTTCTGCCTGTCATCCGGCTGCTCTTTATACTTGATTCATATCCTTGAAATTAATTTCACGGTACCGTTTCCGCTTAGATTCTACAGATACCTTCCGTATTGGTTGTGATAAGACCGTTGCTTTTGTACTTAGGACTACTTTAATAATAGCACGCATCGCACGTGCCAGTAAGGTTTGAATGTAATTGACACATTTGCCATTTGTCCTGTTTTTATCTGCTCTCATTAACGACTGCTTACGTGTATCTTTCAGGCAACTCTGTACAATCCGTAGTAGATGGTACGAAAATTGAATAAACCGATACAAATAAATTATTTAAAAAATAGGAAACAACAACGATGATGACTCCATATTTTACGAGGAATTTTGAAACAATACAATCTCGTTTGCAAATGATATGCATACAAACACATTTACCCAATTAATTCAATAAGTTGTAACTTTTATAATTAGAAGTCAGATCAGTATGGATCGGATATTGATTAAGATTTCGATTAGAAAATATACATAGTTCAATATAAGTTTAATATACACTTTTATTTCCGTTGTCGTTCTTACAGTATCATACAAGTAACAAGTTCACTCTCACGCATCAAAATTTAACGTTTCTGTCGTGATCTCTTCTTATTAATCATTATCAATGTTAATATCAACATCGTACGGTGTAATTTAATATATAATTATCTTAGATGTCATCCACACGCAGCGTAATACTCGCAACATATTCGACATGTTCAATGTGAAAATGCAATGTTGCACAATTCGTAGCCATCTGAGTTAACATAGTAAAGGGGAAAATAAATCAGAATAAGTCACTTTGCGACAAGTGAATTTGTTCATTTCGCCTTTCAAGCGTTTGTCTGTTTGTACACCATCTAGCACCGATAAAAAAAACCCCCCCATTTAATTATCTTCCTCGGACGAGTCGTCAATTAGCCATCTGCCTATGAAGATACTGGCGGGCTCGGCTTCTTTCACCGCTGGCGGTTCGCTCCTCGCAGCTTGAATCGACTCGAGCCTGAGCCGTACGTTCTCGTAAAGGGTCGTTGTCACCCCAGCCTCAGTTATTTTGCTCGTCGTAATCACGTTCGATGTACCCGATACGAATTCTGTCGACGTTATTATAATATGGCCATCCGACAAGCTCTGTGGTAAGAGAAAATGAGAATGGACTCAGTTATTACAGCGTGTAATAATGTCTTAAACACTGTATGATGTACGAGGGTGAGTCAAAAATTATCTGCACTTTTCGTTCTACAATTTATTTACACAAAAATAGGGGTTCAATGTATACATCATTTTTCAACATAGTCTCCTCCCTTGGCAATGCACTTAGTCCAGCGGTCCACAAGCTTGCGTATTCCTTCCAAGAAGAAGGTTTTCGATTGGTCGCAAAGCCACTTTTGCATCGCTTCCTGCACGTCTACGTCTGTAGAAAATTGGCGACCTCGCAAAGCATCCTTGAGCGGCCCAAACAGATGAAAGTCGGAGGGAGCAAGATCTGGGCTGCAGGAAGCGGTGCAAAAGTGGCTTCGCGACCAATCGAGAACCTTCTTGGAAGGAATACGCAAGCTTGTGGACGGCTAGACCAAGTGCATTGCCAAGGGAGGAGACTATGTTGAAAAATGGTGTACACATTGAACCCCTATTTTTGTGTAAATAAATTGTAGAACGAAAAGTGCAGATAAGTTTTGACTCACCCTCGTATTTGAATTGAACTGTATTTTAATTTAAATTTCTATTGAGTTGAAATCAATTTCAAAGGTATTAGAAGATTTATTAGGACGCATATTACGTATTCGCGATGTTAATCATCGGTTAGAGTTGAGCACAGCGGTCTTTATGCGAACAACAGAGAGGCGATAAGTTTCCAAGAAATGAAGGCAAAAATAAATGTACCTAAGCGGCAGGTAAATGTGCTTACAATGTCAGATATAATGTCGCTCTCTTCCCTGAAGCTCTCGGCACTGCCGAAGAAATACGGCACCTTATGCGCACACATATGCAGGTTCCTGATCTTCCGTATTTGCACTAACTTGCCGTCCTTTAGGCCGAAGACCGGCCTGAGCGCGTAACTCGGCCTCGTGTACAACGGACGTGCCACGAGCTTCTTGTCGACCTTAAAGGTAGTGTAACACTCGCCCTGGGTGAAGTTCTCCATCCTGTCGAAGGAAATGTCGTTCCCGGTGCCGTCGATGATGGCACCTATGCTCAACTGGCCGACGATCATGCGAATCATATCGAGCTCGCGCGGCTGAATGTTCTCGTTCACCACCAAGCCATCCAGCCCGCGCTTGTTGAACTTGATCTCAAACTGATCCTCATTGATTTCGTAGGCCGGCTGCCGGTTTATCGGGCCGACCGGCACCACCGATTCCGACGGGTCCAGGCTGTCGACTACGAAGCTGTTCGCCTTGGAGTCCTCGAAGTGGCAGCTCAGCGTGTGGCCACCCTTCGGCTGACAGATCAGCTTCGACACCAGGTTCAACCGCACGCTACCATAGATGCCCTCCTCTGGGATCGCCGTGCAGTTCACCTGGACCTGGAACGCGTACTCCGGCCCGTGTTCCCATTGCTCGTCCGCAGTGAGATGCGCGGCTAAGGGAAAAAAGGGTCATTATGTCATTGCGCGCACTGGACAAGTTACGGTAGGTGATCGGGCGGTGTATTGTTCGACCGCCAGTACGACTGAATGAACCGGTTAAGCCTGAATGGACCTACATTACTGTCGTGTACTGCCGGTGACGTCAAACTGACCGGCGTCTACCGGTTAAATATCGCGGTTACCCAATGTTTTTCGTGTTTCTGATGTTCGGTTACGCGATCGCTCGTCCCGTTCGCGACACGCGCCGACTCGGACGCCTGTCATTCCGGCTATCGGTACTTACGATGGGACACCCTTCGGCGAAACGAGAATCAATTACTAAGTACCGGAAACAGCGGACGTGACTCGAGTCGAGTTGATCTTCGTGTCGCTATCCAGGTGTCACAACAATTCCGAGATCTCACCTAAAAAGAACGGTATCACTACCACGTTCATGGTGACACTGTGCAACGTTGATCTACTTTAATGGAGTTACTGATGTTCAGGCTGCTCTTATACGAGCGGCTAAACTGCACTACTGACCTCTTCTTACGATTAGCGAGCTCCAATTCATCCAAACCCGTTCCCTATTTGTCACGGGAAAATAATGCGTAAGGATAACTTCTTCGGGGATCAGGGGTGGCGTAGCGTGCGGACAGGAAATAAATAACGATTTACGGATTTAATTGTTCGTCGGCGGGATAGAATAAGCTCCATTTTCAAGCGTTTAAACTAATACGGAGCGCAATTATCCACGCGTTTGTCACGCATTTCTTTCGTATGACCCACTCAAATTCGAAGAGGAGACGAATCTGACGAATAACGAACCTGAGTCGTTTAAATAAACTACACCAAAGCAATATTAAGTTTCCAAGTCGCGTTTCAAAATCAGCGTCCTGATAGTCGATGAAGCTTGCAAGAGCCAAACTTCCCAGACAGCACACATAGTTCTATGAACGTTCTTTTGGAGTGCAAATATTCTTAACTTCAGAACATTCCAATCGAATATTCTATAAATATATGTAGATTATTACAATTAGAAATCATATTCATAACAAAGAAGAACGTTTTCAGAATATTCGTCGAGAATGTCTTTGGAGTATTCGCTCGGAATAATTTTTTAACATTTAATGACGTCTTAAAGATGTCTTTTAGACGTGCGTGCTGTACGGGACATAACCGACACGCTATATTCGATAGATTATTCTATTCACATTCGAGAAGGATTTATTGTAGTGCCAGTCGAATGGTCCACGAACATAAGATAAATGTATAAGAATGACTGATGGAATGTTCCAAATATTCTTGAAGAATATTCTTCAAATGTTCATAGGAGTGTCTTGTGCTATCTGGGTTTTAAAACAGCGTGCCATAAATCAGTTATTGCGAAGTAAATCTTGATGTCGATCATTTTGCGACGTAAAATTCGTCACTTTAATGTCGCATTGACGTTTTTATGATTAACTTGTTCTACTTGGGTTGCACAAATTACGTTGCAGACAGAAACGATGAATCACAACGAGAAATCGAACAGCCAGGAGACTCACTTGAATTATTAATTGTTTAACGTTTCTTATTACAGTCTCTTAATGTTCTGAAATCACCGACGCAATTTGTCCGCGGTACGATCGAAGAAATTAATCCCGCGTCCAGCAAAACCACATCTGACCACACGGGAGAAATAAGACGCCTATATTGTACCTTTCCGCATTCACGAACTAAGGGCTCGTGGTTTTGACAAAAGTACGCTGTGTACAAGAAAATATCCCACACACGTACGCGAGGAGAAAAGATGGCGCACTAAGATTTCCCCCGTTAGATTTTAATCTGCCCTTCGTGGATGATCGCTGACACTGACAATAGACAGTGATGAGTCTTAATCGAATAATCGAGTGGACCTAACTGACCTAGGAGAAACGGCACTCTAACGGAATCTATCGCGACGATCACCGCGCAGCGGGACAATTCAGGCCTCGTTCCCGAAGAAACGGCGTTTGCAGCGCGACGTCGGATATAGGTATTTTAATACAGGCGGGTGTTTAAATATCCCCGCGGCGCAACGGTATATCGTGGGATTATGTCGGACGGCGCGGTTGACCGAAAAGCGACGGAGCGGCCGAACGAAATGGCATTTTGGTTGGCGGACAATTTCTTCCACTATCTCGTTGAATGATTCAGCCGCGTGCTATCAATCAAAGAGTTTAATGAACCGGCGCGTCGGCAGTACTGCGCGTCTATCGCTGCATTGATAATGCGCGTACACATTCTGCGTTGTATGAAAAGACAAAAGCCCCGATAACGAATGATGTAGGGTAAGTGCAGCTACAAAATTAGGCTCGCGAGCTCTTGTTGTTGGAATGGAGTGCGCGTGCCCCATAACGTGCCTCATAAGACCCGTCGCGTCATAATTGAGACGTAAAATATTTGAACGGCCGATACAACGGAGTGCGTTTATTGACCCAAGGTCATTGTAATGATTCCATAAGCGACGAAGTGCGCTCGACATGCGCGGTCTGCGGGCGATTTAGCGAAAGCAAACGTTGATACAGCAAATCCTGCGCGCTAACGTAGGCTTCGGATGCAACGCACTTCTTCCGCCGCGGGTTCTTGAATTAGAAGTTCACCCGACGAATTGTCTGCAGAGACGATTTGTCGTACTGACCGACGCATCTGGGCGAGCAACGTAGATGCAAGAACTTGCGCCGTCCACAAAATTTGAAAATACAATTTGTCTCGCGGCTGATACTCGAGCGTATATGAAACCGGAGATCTCGCGGATCGGGTGACGTAATTTTGCCATTAACGCACGGATAAGACAAGGATCTCGTTTGTGTCATTAAAGTAGGTAAAATGACCGGTGAGATGTGACGTACAAGTTAGCATAAATTAGCATACGCCGCCTAAGCTCTCAGCTTGAAGATCGTCGAAGCAAAGTTTTTCATTTCAGTCAGTTTGCTATTTAGGTTCACTTTTTCTACGTATGTGCAATCACTGTTGCACAAAAATTGTAGACAACGGATATATTTGTGTTAAATTATTTATATCGTTACAGGTACACGTTGTATTTCTATGATTAAGGAGAATTAGAAACCGAGAATTCGAAATAGAGAATTGGATTAAGATTTGAACTCTTTTGTAAATAATGTCAGGATGTGAAATTTCTTTTTTACATTTTTTTATCGGTCAGTATCCAACTTTTAAATAGAACTAATACGGCCATCTAGCAATACAATTCTGAAACTGGAAGCATGTGTGCATTCTTCTCGGACGATAAGATCATGTTACGCGGTTTTAAGAAATCGAGTACGCAACGTTAATTACATTAATTACATTAGGGCCGGTATTCATAGTCAAATCTTATATTCAAGGCCGTCTTAAGATCATCTTTCGACACTCCAAGGCCAATGAGATGTTCCATACAGTATCCTTAGATAAATTCAAGACGGTCTTGAACATAAGATATGAACCGGCCTAGGAATTTAGGCACAGGTGGAACACATACACATTTCCACACTGAGAAAAATGCCCGATTAAATACAATCGGATAATCCAATTCCATAATAACAAACGTATATGTCTAATTCGAAATATGATCGGTTTTTCAATCAAACTTCATCGGTTGTATCCATAATTTAATTGGTTTATCCGGTGGAGATTTTTTTTAGCGCATGTATGTGTATGCAAAATGTATAAATGTATTGATATGTGCACAAATTCGTGTGGGAATTAAGGCATCGGTGATTCCTAGCGTATGTACATCAGAAATTGTGTATTTTTTTCACGAAAAAAAGAAACAGGAGAAACTTTGTCTGACCTGAGCAGATGCGTCCTGTGGGATTAATCTTTCGTGATCGCCAACGTTGACGAAAATTAAACATAATGATTTGTGATAGTATTATCTCGAATACATTTTCTATTTTGCAAAATGGGTAAGAGTTAACGTACACGAAAGAAAAATTAAGATGTATTTGATAAATCGACAACTTAATACATGCATTCTATGCATTTTTATTAATCAACTAGAACAACACAAGCGCGCGCGAAGCGCGCGCCATTGTTATTCCACATTATATTAGAACATTAAAATATTATATTGCGCACGCCACTTAACATTATTCTCTTCTTTTGCGTTTTCTATCATTTTTACTAAATTTCACTTTTAGTCACTATCACTATCATTTTCATTCATTCTATATCACGTTCCTTTTAAATAAATCTCAAAATCTGGCTTATTCAAAATTATTCTCTCTTATCCTGATAATTTTTATTTATTTAACTTTGTTTTTACTATACACTTTTATCTTCAACTATTCTTTTGCATTAGATCCCATCCTATCATTGTCTTACATTTTTTATAACATATCAAAAAGTCTAGCTTATTCAATATAATTCTTTCTTATCTAGATAGGTTTTATTTATTTGATTTTATTTTTAATTTAAAGGAAAAAATCAACTATGTGAGCCTTTTACCATGAGAAATGGATTACCAACTGCAATTTTAGTTCACCGAACGGCACAAGAGGGCAGCTGTTTAGATCTTAGGGATGCTGCAGGCAAGTTGAAAACTTGTTCCACTTACAGATATCACGCGGAGAAAAATAATAATAAATTAAAAATATCGCTTTATAAGTAATTGTGGTTAGGCTTCACATGCTGATATTTTTAATTTCTCTTCGTTTTTTATATAAAGTCGTGAACCCCCCGCTTTGTTTTTACGCGTACTGTAATCGCGTGGAAGAATTTTGTAATTTTATAAAGCCAAATTCAAATTGCTCACGATTAAAAAATCGAAAATTTCAAATATCAATATCTTTCTCATTAGACTTCTGACCCGAGTGTTTCAAGTATAAAAACGTTCTG